TTTCAGTATTATATATAGAACATTTTGGAATCTAAAGTTGACTTAAGTTTGAAACGAAAAAAGTCGTTGAGCGTGGGAACTGTGATTAGTGAGAAACCCACAGTCACACCTGACTTCAGAAGGCCTCTCTTTCATGGAAATAATGTGTCAGATGAAGGTCCAGCACTGAAACGTCACAATTAAATATGCCACTGCAAGTAAGACGATGTGCAGAAGTGTTTTCAAAAACCTTCAAAAAAAACCTTCTGATTAATGTGAAAATAAATGTGAACTCATGGTACTGTTTTAACTCTACACCATGTGCTCAGCACCAAACTGCTCACAGACAGTCAGTGACTATCTGATGAAATTAGTGGTGCATTTAGCAGCCAGATATTTACATAATAACTACAGACCAAATTTGAGACTAACTTCCTCAACCGTTTACCAATCGTAAACAGACAATGGAAACAAACTTCTCTTCGAAGATTGTGTTAAGCGATAAGAAAAGAAACAGGTCTCAAGATAATTGAGCTGAAAACATTATAATTCACTGCATAAGCATAAAATACATTTTCCTGTGTGAGAAGGGCTGTCTTTCTTTATCCCTCCCTTGTGCTTTCTATTGTGGAGATATTCAGTTTGTATATTTGAAGTTATTTCCTGTTGAAAAAAAAAAGCTTTAGAATACAAGCATTTCCTGAGAGATTCACAAACCCACATGTGACATGTGTAGAGGAAGAGGAAGACGGAGCGAGCACAGTCGTAAAGGTTAGAGGTTAGACAGAGCTGCAGTCAGTCCACGTTGACGAAGTGGAAAATCAAAGCTCAGGCTACCACAGACATGTGAAAGATCAAGAAGCCAATGAGAGGCCTTGTACCTGAGCTCCCAGTCTGCAGCACAGTGACAACAAACAGGCTTCACCTGCAGTGACGGAGCTGCAGACGAGAAAGAGAGAGAGAGAAAGTGTTGGTACTTGGGAGCCAAGAAAGCAGATCTGGAGTGGAGGTGTAATGGAGAACCTGTCTGTCTACCATGGACCTATCGGCAAGGAGGAGGGCGAGAGGCGCCTGGCCCAGGACGGCCGGGACGGGAGCTACCTGGTGCGCAACAGTGATTCTGTACCGGGCGTCTACTGCCTGTGTGTGCTGTGAGTACAAAACACAACAGCTCTGCTTCTTCCTATTTCTTTTAAGCAATTACTGGAACCTCAATAGTCACATCAACTCATTTTCTGCTATCACAGAGATTATTGATCTTCTCACATTTAAAAGAAAATAAAAGCACAGAGGGAAAAACAAACTAAGTGAGTGTTAAGTGAGACTAAAAGAAAGTGTGCTGGCCTGTTTTTGAGTTCCACAGTAGGAATAATGGGGACGTTAGGGACCATTGTGTGTACTCTTTAACTTAAGATGAACTCAGGGTCAAAGGTGTGTGTGTCTGTGTGTCTGTGTGTGTGTGTGCGTGTGTGTATGCAGGTCCAGTGGATACGTCTACACATACAGACTCCATAAGGACGACGCAGGCTCCTGGGCTGCAGATGTGAGACAATCCATCTTATTTCTTGCCTTTAAAGCAGCTGTGACTCCTCTCACACCCTGAAACCTTTTAGAAGCAGCCGAACAGCTGCACATCCGCCTCACTCTGCTCGCTCTTTATTAGTTCTAGAGGTTGTTCTGGTGCCAGCTTAATTCAGCAAGCTGTGAATTTGAAGCAAACATGTTCTTTCCCTTGAGTGACAGCACTGAGAAATGGCTGCATTTCTTTTTTTTTCCTCCTTCGGCAATAACGTCCTCCCCCCATGCACCCGAACCCAAACTCAAATTTAAGACACCACAGCATCAGCATATACTCCCAGAGATGGGAAAACGTAGAAGTGCATTTGACAGCATTTCTGATGGGATGTGTAATTGAGCACTGAGGGCTGGCAAGCACCCAGAGACGTGAACGTATGGAGACATCTGAAGGCTGCGTCGCTCTTTCTGACAACTAAGATACATGCTGTTGTAACTACATTTTACCCCACGCTCATTTTTACTGACAGCATCGAGCCAACAGATAGAGGGGAGGAAGACTTACACAGATTTCACTACAAGCTCAATAACGCTTTACATTATTCATGTGCAATATCAGTCACTTTAATGAAATATTCCCGGGAACAGAGGTAACACTTGTGGCCAGAGACGGAAACATCCAAAGTGCTTGTGTGGGAGGTGATCTTGGCTGATTAAATCATTCTGTAAATGCATTCAAACACGATTCTCACAATTTCTTATACAGCCTGATTGATGGAACACAATGAAAACACAAAAAGTCCTTACTCGACAAAATGTACAACTTCAGAGAGCTGTAAAACTTCACATTTTAGAAATATTAAATAAGTTGATGGGTGCCGTCAATTAGAAATAATATAAATACTCCCACAAAGAGGAAGAAAACTGTCACATAAAAAAAGACAAACCTCTTTTCTGCTGTGTTGTTTTTGCTTAAAGCTGCAGATCATTTCTAAAAATGATCTTTGTGATATTCAAGTTTGAGTCAGTCACAGGTAAAGCTGGAGAGATGATGGGATATGAGCTTCTTAGGTGTCACACAGAAATCCTAAAATAAAGGCTTTTTGTTGACTAACAATAAATATATACATATTTAAAAAAACACAAGCCCAGGGGAGTGAATGCTTTCAGAGGCAACTGCATCCTGAATATTTCCGAATTTAGCTTTTAAACCCCTCGAGTATATTTTCCATCTGGGTCTATAGTCGTTTTTACAGCAATTGTACATGCATCTTTCTTTTGCATCATATTATTTATTGATGTGTCCTGTTAAGGTCTTGAATACAAGCTCAGTGTGAACGACTAAATAATGGCAATGATTCTCGGTCCATCCCTCTGCACAGTGTTTCTGTCTCTGCACATTTCATGTCTTCTATAAGTTGAATTGAGCTCATTTCAAGCCGCTTCTGTCCTGTCCACTTCATTTACCCCTGTGGGCTTTGATGTTGAGATGTAGACGCTGAATTCTCTTCAGCCTTTTCTTCTTTTTGTAAATGCTTCTTCTTGTGTTTCAGACCACTCCTGGTGTGCAAAAACGATATTTTCGGCAAATCAGGAACTTGATAGCCGCTTTCCAGAAGCCTGAGCAAGGAATTGCCATGCCCCTGCTCTACCCCGTCACTGCTCAGCTACGGGCACAGACGCCTGGTAATGGCCTGTCGCTGACATGCAGCGGCCAGCCGCAGCAGCAAAAGCAGCAGCCCCGGCAGAAGCCACCATCACCAAAGCTACACACTGCTAAGGGACAGAAAAACAGGAACCAGAAGACAGAACCACAGAAAGCCTTTTCTCACCAGTGACCTAATTGTTAAAACAACATTGTACTCTTATGAAGCCTACTGTTACAGTCTAATCACTGTCTCTTAAAGTAAAGGTCTATTTTTATAATTAAGCTGTTTTATTTTAATAATTTAGTCTCAGGCAGTGACTCAGATCTTAGTATTCTTCAAATCTCTCTTTTTTTTCTTGTATATGCGGCACAGAGAGAGTCTCATAACTTTCAGGGATGTGATGTAAAAATATTCAGCTGCTCAAACATTAATATCCATTACTGTGTGCGCCAGCTGACAACAAATATTGTGCTCTGTATTCTTAACGCAATTCAATTCTGTGAATGGCAAACAAAATAAATGATATTGGTTGAAATAAACTCTTTTAAATGGGGTCACGCACACACACACTCACACAATCACACACACGAGCCTCCGTATAAAACATATAATGTGGAACAAAAATTCAATTTGACATATTGAAGTGCTGATTTCCATGAGGAGAGTGCTGACTCCTAGAGAGGTGGGTGGGGGGGCTGTCATTCATTTGATCGACATTACTGGCTCTTGTGAAAAAAGTGAGCGAGAGAGACAGAAAGAGCAGGAGGAAGAAAAAAGAGAGAGAGCGAGAAAGCATCCATTCAGCCCAGACCATTCTTCAGTGCAGTGGTCTCCTAGCAACCGGACCCTCCATCTTTTCAGCACCGAGATGAGGTTGGACAGTATCTAGTGGAGCATATGGTCTAAGAAGGGAAAGCACATCGCAGCTGATCGGCAAAGCGCTGCAGAGGAAAACGTATATCACCTGCTCGCAGTCAGAACATATGCATCGTGCCGCTCTGTCATCCGCAGCCCAGGAGAGACACACACAAACAATTAATGGTGGGCAGATGGCGCGGAGTGACGGTGGGAGGGGGAGGCGAGTGGGGGGATAGGCAGACGGACAGGGAGGAGGATTAGTGGTAGCGAGATTTAAAAAAATAAAAAAATAAATAAAAACAAACTTCTTTACTTTCTTCTTTAACTTTTTGGTGGGGAGAGTCTTGGAAGTGGTTCACATGTAGTCTGATTGGCATTTCCTAATGAGAGGAGACAAGCTGCAGAGAACGGCACAGCCAACTCCAGGTCCTGCCCCTTCTGCACTCACCACCCACTCACTGAGCCTCAGCTGTCACATTTCTTTTTCCCTTCCTCTGTGCTTCTTTTTCCTCCCTCCTCTTCTTCCTCTTCTTCTTCTTCTTTGACAGACGCAGCTTCCTCATGCATATCTCAGTTTGAGCCATAATGATGGGTGATAATGACGGCACAGATTTGAAAAGTTACAAACTCCTAGAAACAAGAACAAAGAGTCCACAACAAATGTGTGGAGGAAAGGCGTGAAGACAGAAGAAGAAGACGTGTGTGAAAAAGAGAAAGAGAGAGGGAGCTCAAGCAGTCAGGGGAGAGAAATAATAAGCAACCAATGGCTATGAAATCCCAGGGAACGATCTGGTAATTCACACATAATTACTTTAATCAGCATTGTAACCCAATAAAGTCAGATTTTTCAGCGAGAATATTTACTATAGCCATTTATAATTCTTTGCAAAAAATGTAACTGTTTTCCTATTGATTAACAATACCGACACTTACTTATGAACAACAGAATTTCCAGTTGAGCACTTTTTTTCAGTGTGAAAGCACTGGCTATGTACATTCTTGATTTTAGTATACACACTCATACAAACTACTGTTGGAGCACACCAGAGGTGGAAAACCCGCCAGGTTTCCTTCTCTAAAGGGGAGTGTCAGAGTCGACAAGGCCTCTCTTACACAATATGTAAACGACAGTATTTCCGAGGTAAACCATGTAGGAACTCAAATGGCAACCGGTGAGCTCTTGGTTTCGAGTCATGAAAAGGATTATTCACTGGCAATCCTACAAAGTCTTCATCTCTACAGTTCAGTGAGTTTGAACAGTGAACAGTGAAACAGCGAATGACAGTCGAGTCCGTCAGCGAGTCAGTCAGTCCCAGGCCAGTTGGGATACAAAAAGCAAAGCCACAGCCAAACCACACTGCTTGTGCCACTGTTAGAAATCGGAGAAACTGGACAATAATAATAAAATACCATCATTTTGTCACAATTAAAGGCATTTGGAAATCACTTTTCCCCCAAGCTCTCTTCTTGTTCTTCTTTGTCGTCGTCTTCTCTCTTTTTTTGATACAGAATAGAAACAGTAGAACAAATCAGAGTAGAGTAGAAACGGGCAGTCTTTGGTGGGGCGGGGGGCTGCTCCTGTGTCTCTGTTACCTGCCCCCCACCTCGCTTAGTGTCATAAAGTGGATGTTGGAGGGGCAGTCGGACAGCTCCGGCTGTTGCTCTATAGGCAGGGAGTAGTAGCCGTCGTAGCCCTGAACGCGTCCGCCGGACAGCAGCTGCTGCTTCTCCGCCTCGCTCCAAGCCCGGCTCCCCACATCCCCTGAATCCACCCGCTTCCTCTCCTTCTCCCACGCCCCCTCCACCGCCCTCTTCCTCGCCTCCTCCCTCACCCGCGCCCTCTCCTCCTCCTCGTTCCCGCCATAGCGCACACACAGGCACAGTGCCCCCTGCTGGAGAGTGATATCAGCGAAGCGTCGAGTCCTGCCGTTCACTGTGGCGCTCATTTGAGACACGCTCACATTCACACCATTCTCTAGGACGCGACCCCCGACGCCCAAGCCTGGGGCGAGGTCTTCTTCTATTGGCCGTGTCTGGAGGAAGTGGTGGGTGTCGCAGCCATGCACAGTGAAGCTCAGCCCGCTCAGGTGCACAGCGCCGTTTAAAATGGCTGCCACTCTGCGGCTGTCCTCGCTGGCTACGCCGATGACTTCAGCGCTGACCCGGCCGTGGGAGACGGCAAAACGGATGCTGGGGCCGAGAAGCGAGGGTCTGGAACCGAAGGGAGGAGGACGTGTCGGTCTGTGGCAGGTGGAGCCCACAGGCTCAGAGACCAGAGGTAACCTGTCCAGAGAAATGAAGCTCCGCAGCTGCCTCCGCATCTCACACTGGATCCCCAACACCACCTGACAACAACAAATACACACATACAGTGGTTCTTAAAACATATTACAGTTATATGGACTGGTAAGTAAAGTAACACTCCCAGGTATGACACAGTTTTTACAGCAGACAATTAGATCAACTTGATTGACTTTACATACATTTCCCATTTTGTACTATTTTTTTGCCTCAACCAGAACCAATTTTTTTATGAATTTATCTGACAGCTTTTTGAAGTTTGAAGTAAAAATAGATATTCAACTTTACAAAGTGGATAAAAAAGTAAAAGTAGCTAATCTTAACAATTGAGAGGCTGGAATACTTACTTTATTCAAAATTAAAGTAAAAAACATCAGAAATATTCATGTTAATTAAAACCAATTTAGTTTTTTGTTAAATGACCAAACATTTCACAGCTAATATTGATATTAAAAACATTCTCATCTTTAATGCATTGTTTTCATTACACATAAGAATTGACCACTAGAGTCACAATCACATCAGCGTCTTAAAGCTGTGTGAAAGATGACTGCCCCACATGAAGACTTGAAAATTAAATAAATTAGTACTAGTAAGAAGCAGTTATATGAATAAATGGTGTAAAATATATAATTGAAACAACAATTTGTGAGATAACTTAAAATTATGGAATCTCCACTAATTCCTGAGAAATACTATTTCATCATATATATATGAAACAGTATGTTATATATATTACAATATCACATTTAAAAAAAAAATATATATATATATTCTCCTTTTTCTCAAAATGTTTAGTATTTATTGATCATTTATTTTATGAGACTTCATAAGTCAAAACTACTCAAAAGTGTTGTATATTAAAATAATTTATCATAATTATAGTAGGTAAGTGTAAACCCACATTTTCAAAATGAGTCAATAAAATTTAAATGTATTTAAATATTCCACTGAAAGAGAAAAGATAATAATGAAGGCACTAAAAATGTTTTTAACATGTGGCTTAAACCAGGGGAAAACTAAAAAATCTAGTATACAGCGTGTAGAATGTCTTTCTTGTCACTGCAGTTGTTTTAATATTATAAATAAAAGTCACCTTGCTGGTGTCCCAGTCCTGGGTCTTAGTCTGGGTCTTCATTAGTTCATACGTTTGTTCCATCCTGCCCACCTCAGGCTTTGGGAAGCCTGGGACAACATTATGAAGCTGGAACCCAAAGAGCTGCAGCCAGCTACCAATGTCTGGATGCACACGCACACACACACACAGAAAATTGCACAAAGGGGGATTGTTAGAATATTGTGTCCATACTGTGAAGCAAACAGAAAATCATAAGGCCAGAAAAACAACACCTTGTACAGGAAATCAAACAATATAGCAAAATATGCAGCAGAGACAGGTCGGCTGGATTTTCCCTCACACACAGGTTCTTTCTGTAATAAACAATCATGGTGCAGAAAAACGTGACGGGCCAAATGAATGTTCCATTAACCAGAAGGACACAAGCCCCTGCCAACCTCCTATATTCATCCTCTGACTCCTCTTTCCCTCGCTTTGCCTGAGTTTCTATTTTGTCTCTCGGGGAAACGGAATGTTCTTGACAGACAGACGGAACAAAACATAACAAGCCTGTGTTAGAAAACAAGATGATCACAGACATGCCTGTCCTTTGTGTTGTCTGTGCTTTCTGTCACATCTTTTCTCTCTAGCTTACCTGTGGTTAGCTGTGGGCTGTGTGCACTCGTTCACTATGGCAGATGTTGCTTGTGGAGGTGTGTTTGTGTGGGAGTAGGTGCAGCTGAGTGAAAAACCTGCCTGCATCTGACTGAGAGCTGTAGTGCAGCAACTACTGTGTGTCAGCTTGAGACCCTGGTGTTAACATCCGTCCAGAGTGATCCCATCACATGTGGTCAGCGCTAACTGTGTGAAAGCACTCAAATGCGTCCAGAGATCCAATCACTCAGACCACATTCTGGGACACATGTGGCCACATTCTTCGCTGAGTGAACACAAATGCGCCGGGTCGCCTGCTCAGCTGACGTCATCTGACCGTTAACAGTTTCACAGTTTTCAACATTTTTTTTTACAATTAATCATATTTTTACGCTTCAGTGCACATATGCGGATTGATGCAATGTCAACACTGACCAAAACAAAATGACTGATACTTTCCTGAAATTGGCTTTCTTCATAGCAGAGCTGAAGGAGATTCATTCAGCCCCTCCTGACCCCTCTCTCTATCTACCTCTCGCTCGCTTGCGCCATGTTGGCACACTTTGTTAGTGTCATTCTACACATATACAAACTCATACTGGGTAAAAACAACATAATTTGGTCTTCGTAAACATAAAAGACGTAAGTGATTATTTGCAAGAGCAGGGGATGTGCGATCTGATCGTAAGTGGTCAAAGGATTTTCAATAGGAGGTGTGAACAGACCTATTTGATTGTGGTACAGTGACATCTTATGATTGGATATGTCAGGACAGATGTTAATACCAGGTCTGAAGATTCTGTGTTGTGATGGTTAGTGAATGAGTGTTTGCGTGCATGTGTGCACGTGTGAAGCTCACCTGTAGTAAACTGCGTCACCTCCTCCACCCTCCCGACTGGACAGTTATTTTTGAAGGCGTACAAGTTAAACGGCTTTGGCTCCCTGCTCAGCTCGCCCCACAGTTCATGATTCGGTGAAGTCCATCGGCCAGCCAGCGTGTCGTAATCCCGCCTGCCCAAATGAACCAGTCGTGTGAGAGGATCATACAAGCCTCCATGGAAACCAATAACAAGCTGGAAGTCCGGGTTGGTGTCCTGATAGACCTCTCCATAGGGAGTGTAGAGGATCTCTTTGACCAGTCGCCCCTTGCTAGAGAAAACTGCCCTCGGACTCCCGACACTGTCGCAGGCGACGTAGTACTCCTCGCCGCTGCTCAGCTCCATGGCAATGAGATGGCCCTGGAGGTCGTAGTACAGCGACTTGATCAGATTGCTGCTGTGGTTGTACAAGTGGCTGACCCTGGTGGGGTGTGACAGGTCAGCATAAAAGAACTGCAGCTGATCGCCCTTGCTGCTCTTGGTGGCCACACGCCGACCCAGCCCGTCATACCGGTACCACACGGTGTGCTCAGTCATTCGGTTGAAGACACGGGTCAGCAGGCCGTTGGAGTTGTAGTCGAAGAGGTCATTCGCTCGCTGGCGGAGGAAGCCATCGTCGTCTACGCTATACTGCAACTCGCCAAGGTGTGTGATGCGGTCTCTCTGGTCGTACCGTAGCGGAGTTAGTCTGGAATTAGACCAAACACGTATGAAATGCAATTGTGCTCTTATCTAAAATTGATATAGAAACACACTAACATGCTTCCAATAATAATGGAAAAGTTAACAGCAATATATATAACAGGTAATGAGCTATTGGACCAAAGTGGTGAGTTGACTGACCGGCATTTGCAAAAATAGGATAATAATATGATAATGATTTACCTAGCACTGGTCCCATGGCTGAGTAGGTTGATGTTCCCATTGAGGTCGTAGCTATAGCGCCACTGAGGCCGCTCGTTGACTGCGGCGCTCTGCAGCTGGCTGTCGGCATCGTACTCGTATGTGTAGCGAGTGACATTGCTGTCCACGCCAACCCTAATGTCACAGGTGGTGGTGCGCCCTGCAGAGTCGTACTGGATGGTCATCCAGTAGGCGATGGATTTAAGGATCTCATACTGGACCTCTACTACTTGGCCGTAGGAGTTAAATACTTTGGTGTGCTTCATCAGATGAGTGGTGATCACCTTGATGCAAAAGACAACACAGCTTAGACATGCACCCAAACATACACCTAAAATCAGACTGATATGCTTCATGCATCATTATATCTGGAAGTTTTTGCGCAGTATTCTACAATATGGAGTATTGCAGTATTTTGCTGTATTTTAGGCAGTGTTTTTTTGGACATGGGGGGCACCAAATGCAACACTGACACCTAATAAAGTTAGTGTAGAGTGTGTTCATCAAACCGCAGAAGACTGCTTGTTGTGGTTTGAAACAAGATTGCTGAGTTCTGTGAGGAAAACATAAAAGCCACAAAGATTAAATACCAGACTTAAGAATGAGTACTTGACATACCTGGTTGAGGTCATAGAAAATGACGCTAAACTTTCCAAACTGCTCGACCCGTCCTGATACGTCGACGTAGCGGTACAGATCTATCGGCAGCGGTGTCTCATTAATGACTGCCTGCATGCTCGTCACTCTGAAGTTGTTGTAGCTGTAGTCAAACCTGGCGTTCACCAAACCCTCCTCGCTGAAGCGGAAGATCTGCCGACTCGTCAAGGGACCTACGCAGAACAATCAGAGAGAGAGAAATCCAGCGATATTTGAGATTGGATTACACACATTAGCATGTGTGGACTGCACACGTAATGCACATGCACACACAGCACTCACAGTTGGCACTTGGCGCTACCCATACAAGCCTGCCTAATTAATTCAAATCAAGGACTAATTCAACATCATTAACACAGACACACGCAGTGCGATCCATTCAATCTTAACTATCCCCACACCTCTATGGCATTTCCAATGGTGACCTTTAATATGGAGACATAATGAAATCTAAAGACAATAGCCATGATGGGCCAATGTGCTTCTTAATGTCAGAACATCAACATTAACAACACCATTCATCACCTTTGCTGCTCGCTACTACAGCTCATGGTCCATTTGGAAAAAAGCCTGCTAATGAAACACCATTACGGTGCTATTTGCGTTGACTATGACTGCAGTTAAAATGACTAAGTGTTGAGCTTTGGACACTGTAGAAAGCTGGATCAGCGTAACATTTTCTATTTTTATTTTCCGTGGAATGTTGATTCTAAAACCTGCGCTAATGGTAAAATGGCAAAAGCAGAGTGAGATGGGATTCTCCCGCAGCCCTGGGGAACTCGCAGTCTGTTCGTCTCGCTTCTCTGGCTGTCTCTTCCCCAAGCTGTCATATTTCCCTTTTCTTTTTCTGTTCCTCTTCTACCTCTCTATATTCCTGACTCTCTACTGTTCTTGGTCCCCACTTTTTTTCTTGCCTCATCTCAAGAGACAATTACCGCTATCTCTTCTCTCTTCAAGGCTCAGGTTGTTCTGATGAAATAAGATCAGTTAAAGGAAGGTGAGAATCTATTCACAGCGAGGGCAATGCGATGCACACACACACACACACACACACACACACACAC